TTTATTTTATCTTATCTTATCTTATTTTTATTAACTTACGTGCTGCCCATCTCACCATCCGAGACTCTAGGCGGCTTACAACATCATAAAGCAACAACATGAAACAATTGAAGCATTAAAAGCATTAAACATGAAAAATGAAAAGCTTTTTTAAGAGTTAACAAAAAGCAGATAAGAACTTCGCTTAAAAAGCGGCCCATTTCGGGGACCAACAATATACTTTCCTAGCCGGTAGTTTAATCCTCACTCTCTCCATCGTATAAGCCAGGATTCAGTAGCGGAGTATAATATAAAATATTTCTGGACCTTCCTACAGGTTAGTGGCTTTGCCTGCCTGTAGAGCTGGGGGGAAAAACCCCTAAAACTCAAGTAAGCCTTCTAAGAAAGAAGGAGAAAATGAAAGCGGAGACGAAGAAATACTATAAAAACGACAGATGGGAGGTGCCACTAAGGCTGCTCAAATCCAAACTTGTGGATAAGGTTCTTCCTCCAGAAGAAGGAAGAGGTCTTCTGGGGCAGCAGATCCTGGCAGAGATCCTCAAGACGGTTGCCTTGTTGGACATCCCTCCTTTTTTTTTTCCTGGCCCTTGATGGAGCCACCCTCTTCACGTATGGCTTTTCCTACTCTTACGACATTTAAATGTTGGCTTCGAGTTTCATTGTTGTATGGAAAGAGTGATTTTGGAGATACCAACAAGCCGGAGCTTGAACGTATCTCTCCGAAGTGCCAACTTAACGTTGCTGCACTCTGGGTCTGGCACAAAAAGGGCAATTTATAAGCCACCAATCAGAAACCCCGTAAATCCGAGCACAATTCTCACACCAGGGCTGTGTTCTCGGAACGACAAAGAAACGGCGTGGATCCGCTCCGCTGCGTCTCCGCAGGTTTTTCAGCCGACCAGGTGAGGAACACAGAAATAAACCCTTCCATATTCTTAAAAACAGGCAGAAGGGTCCAACTGGAGAGGCTGCTTTTCATTCAAGAATATACAAAGCATAAAATAGGACCTTTTCCTCCCAAATCGGCATCTACCATGAAGGAATTGAAGCCGGCCTTTTCGTTGACTTTTCCATTGACTTGGAATTAGGCCTTTTCAAGGGGCCTTACAAGCTTTGTTTATTTAAAAAATGTAATATAAACCAAAGATCCGGCCTGTTGAGTCCAAATCTGACACACACACACCCCCCATGAAGTTAGTTGGTTTAGCTGGGGAAAAATCAAAATGTTTCTCGAACCAACCATTTTCCAAATTGTTCTTAGCATGCAAGATTTTGAATATAATATAGAATAACGGAGTTGGAAGGGACCTTGGAGGTCTTCTAGTCCTGCTCAGGCAGGAAACCCTATCACATTTCAGACCAATGGTTCTCCAATCTCTTCTTAAAAACTTTTCCAGTGTTGGAGCATTCGTAACTTCTGGAGGCAAGTTGTTCCACTGGTTTAATTGTTCTAAATATCAGGAAATTTCTCCTTAGTTCTAGATTGCTTCTCTCCTTGATTCCAGTAGTTTCCATCCATTAGGAAAAAATTCTTCCAATGATCCTCCTGGGATTCCGAAAGGATTCTATGGGAACCCAACGTTATTTTTGTTTCAAGAAATATTGGACCTATTTCCACGTGCAATTGTCAGGTTAGGTGGCATTCCTCATCTGCGAAAGCCACCAGCGAAATTGCTTTTCAATTATTTTTCCCCCTCCCAAAAATAAGGAGCAACAGGCAACAGTTCCTAGAACAAATCTTATTTTGCACCCACTCTCAGCCATGTGGCCAGAAAGCATCCATGCTCTTTTTTGCTTTGCTTGTTGGTTTGTTTAATAAGATTGATAGATTTGCGGTCTTCGAACAAAAACAAAAAAAAAACCAAAGCAAGCCCATTAATAATAAAAAAAAAACATTTTAAGTGGCTATTTTGAATTCCACTTCCTTGAGTCAGACAAAGGACAATTATTGCACACTTAGAGAAATCAAGGCAGCTCCGTATCCCTTGGTTAATGATAACCTTCTATATCCCAAGGTTAGATGTGACTTTGCAAAGGATAATTTCAAAAGATGAATTTTCCTTGTAAGCGGCTTTATTTTTATTTTTTTTATTTTTTTGGGAAGACCCTCAAAAAGAAGCCAAGGGTTGGGTTTTCAGAATTAAAATTTGTGAATTGTTGCGAGGTGTTCGGGCAACATAGCAAGCTTGTTTGGAACATTTGTTGGGGGTAATTTTTACCATTGAAAAATCTGTAAAAGAAATGCTTTTTTAAAAAAAAAACACCACAACTTTTGTGTTGCTTTGTATATAAGCAACGCACACCTTCAGCAACAACGAGCCACATCAAATAAAGCTGACCATATTGATTAAAGTGTCTCTTGGAGACTATTAGGACTTTAATTGCAATCCTGCTTTTTCGATTTCATTTTCGCTATTGAACTAAAAAATGTGAACTATTGCGTTGTCAATCCTGTGCTTGACCTGAACTGCATTATGAACCGAGAATGTGTTCTTAGTGAATTGTTAAAAGTTCTTTGAAACTTGTAAATCCCTGTAATTTATGTTCCTCTGGCCTCTTAACCATTTCTTTCTCTCTTTTTTTTTTTTTCTCTCTCTCTCCCTTTTTTTGACCTTCTGGTTTTAATTTGGAGGGCACCTTGGTCCTGCCTCACACGCAGTTATTGTTTTTCTGATTTAGCAACCTTAGAAAAAGCTACCACCGTCCCGCAAATTGGAAGAGTTTCTTTGGAGGCGAGAAAGTCATGTATGGGTCAAACAGTTCTTTTGTCATGGAGTAGCATCCTCCACTTCATCTTCATCATCATCATTATTTATTTATTTATTTATTTATTTATTTATTTTATGGCTATAATCTTCCTGTGTGTCCCCCGACCCTCAGCGGATATCGTCCACATTTATTTATTATCAACATTTTGTGGAATTAAATAACCGAAGAAATTTTCTCCGGAAGAAACGAGCAAGCGCTTAGCATAACTTCTCCTCTAAAGTTTGCCTGCCTGACAGCAGTTCCATTTATCTAAACAATCCTGTCAAAGGCATTAATAGAAATCCAGTTGTATTTTCCCCCACTGAAAGAGACCTAATGGGAGGATCTTATTCAGCTGCTGCTCAGAATCCAACTGCATGCAACCCACATTCTTTCTTTTTCCATTTTTAGGTGGTTCACATTTTTTTCCTGGTTGTCCCAAAAAGCACGTTATTAGGAGCAGAGATATGTCCCAAGATCTTCGCTTTCCTTAATCTTTTACCACAACTGCTACAACTTTACATGTGTTTTCTCCGTGTATAAGTTTCTCTCTCTCTTTTTTTTTTTTTTTTTTTGGCCTTTTTGTGTCGTTCCTAAAGAATCACGAAGTTCGTATTTTCCATAAGATTCTTATTGCGTAATGTTGTAAGTATCGGACATAAAAAGTAGCTGGATGGATGATTGAAATAAAATGATGTAGTTTTCTTATTGTTGTTTGTCTTAATTAATACAAATGCTTCTTGGCTTCCTAACCTGTTTTTTAACTCCTTTTCCAGGTGAGTGGAGAAATCTTCCAGCACGGCTGGCTCTAACATGATGCTCTCTGTGTTTTTTCAGGTAATTGTGCAGTCCGGCCGCCATCCCACTGTGTTGCAGAAGTTGTGCCAGTTGCCTTTCCAGTATTTCAGTGACCCTCGGCTTATCAAAATCCTCTTTCCGACACTAATTGCCGCTTGTTACAATAACCCACAAAACAAGATCATTCTGGAGCAAGAAATGAGTTGTGTGTTGTTGGCCACTTTCATTCAGGTAAACGTCGGTTGGTGTGAGGTCATGACACAGAGATTTCTGTCTTTAAAAAACTAGTATTTTTTTTTTTATTTGAAAGAGGAAAGATGAAGAGAAGGAAGGGAAGGAGAGGAAAGGAAAGGAAAGGAAAGGAAAGGAAAGGAGAAAGGAAAGGAAAGGAAAGGAGAAAGGAAAGGAAAGGAAAGGAGAAAGGAAAGGAAAGGAAGAAAGGAAAGGAAAGGAGAAAGGAAAGGAAGAAAGGAAAGGAAAGGAAAGGAAAGGAAAGGAAAGGAAAGGAAAGGAAGAAAGGAAAGAGGGAAGCAGGGAGAGAAGGAGAAGGAAGGGAGGGAGGGACAAGTTTTCCATTTTTCCCCAAATGAAAGGCTTCTTTATGGTCCAAAGTTTTATCTCATAAACATTTGCTAAGTATTTTGGAGAATTCCCTAACGATTGGCTGATGTTTTTGCTTAAAACGTCCATTCTGCTAAAAGTTTCAACAGCTGATACTTCCTAAGATACAGGAAAGCTCCTGAAATAGATACCACGATCCCATTCCGCAGACAAATCTAGTTTTAATATAATGCAACTGATACCAAAATGTAAATGTTGTAACGTATTTAAATAGATTGGTGGGTTTATTTTTTTAAAATTACAGATACGAATTTTAGATCCTGTTGCCAGTGGCAGTAAATATCAGCTATGCTAAATGTTTAGATCGGAAACTCTGGTTTACATAAACAATCAATCGTTCTTTTTTATGCGTGTAAGGATGCACATTTTTTTTGGGCCATGCCAGCAGTCTACTTTAATAACCAACTTGCACAAAGCAATGTTTATTTATGTGCACATGTCCATGCATAGACAGTTAATTGGTCCTATCAACCTTCAGACACATTCCAAATTTGTAATGCTTAACCTGTTGCAAATCTGTAAAATTGTTGAAAGATTTAAAGATTTTTTTTTTCCCACCCAGTTAAAGCAGTTTCTGCAAGACTTGGCAATATTTATACTCGAGAGTGAAATTGTAAATAAATACATAAAAATATACCGCAATAAAAGCAAATAAAGAAAAACAAGGCCTCAGATCGTAAAACCGAGAGATCAGAACCATTAAATGAAGAACGGAAAGATAACATGAATTTATTTATTTTTTTGGTAACTGTTTTGAAAGCATAAATTAGCAACTGCGAATGATTTTGGCTACCACAAGTTATTAAAAAAACAAAAGCATTGATTGCTTACATGAAAAATGAACTATTATTTTAACCGGGAAAGCCATCCATATATAATTACATAATCCAAAATCAAGGGCAATCTAGCCTCAGTCAAATCCAGCTTAATTTTAATTAGCGTTAATATCTTTTTAAAAAATTTTGTTCACATCAGCCTATTCGCTTCTGCAACCCGAAAACAACTTGGCTTCCTTTGGCCTCTAGAAATTGTTGTTTAGTAATCTGATTTTCCTTTTCTTCTAAAAAAAAAATTCTAATAAAATAGTATTAAACAAATAAACAAACAATTAGGCCGCATAAAAAGCCGAGTTTGTTTTCTTCTCCCAGATAACTGCCAAATGAAAAACAGATTTACACGGATACTTGGATTTCCAGTTGCGTGCTCTAGCAGGGAGACACAATGAGGGGCCAGCACCCTTTTCCCGTGGGGGGGGGGGGAGAGAGATTCAATGTGAGAATCTAACCCCTTAGATTGGAAAATAAATGTTTACCATATGGGGAATTGGGCTAAGCAGAGGAGAGCTAGGTCAGGCTTATGCATGTCCAGGGATGCGATCCAAATGCACAAAAATAGAAAATAGCAATGACCCCCCTCCAAAAAAAAAAAAAAAAAAAGGAAGAATTGTCATATCATCCTTTTTTTAGAAATGGGAGGCGGGAGCCAATTTTTTTCTTAAAGCCAAGTTCACTCATACTTCAAGAGTTTTCCTCCTGCTAAATTCTATCACAACCATGGCTGTTTTGACAACTTTTAAGGGAGGGAAGCGTTGTATTAAAGCAGGAAGTATTTTCCGAGTCAGATCGCGTATGTTTTGGCTCCTGCGAGGAAATCCAGCCAGTGTTGTGTTTCGGAGAAAACAGGACAATCTCTTGGCTTTTATTTCTGTAGGATTCTACAGAAAGCTCGGGCCCAACAGACAACCAGCCTTCGCAACAAAGGGGTAAGTAATTTCAGGCTAACAAATTATCCGTGGTCTTGGGTTCCAAACTTGCCCGGTTGCCTTTTAGAAGACGGCTCGCGGGAAAACTGGAAGTTCCTGCTGGACCTTTGAAACCTGAGGAACGTTGACCTCACGTTAAAAATTCTTCTTTGTGTTTAAACTTTTTTTTCCTTTTAAAAAGCAGGAAATAGATCCCAAGGTAAGGCAAATCTGGAGGGGAGGTGCCGGCGGGGGGAGACCTCCCCCCCAAATCCAGCAAAGGATTAGCCCAACATAACTCTAAAATTAAACTCTGTGTTCTTCATTTGACAGAAACATTCTTGGGCGCTCAAGATTATTTGGAGCTGTCAAACAGGTTCCCTCGGCAGACCTGGGAAGAGGCCTGGCAGTTTTTCTTGAAGAAAGAGAAAAAAGGATAATTTATTGAATTGTTTGTTTTGATTCGTTTTGTTTTGCCAAGACGGTTACTTTTCCTCCCTCTCGTTGAGCAATTTTGGGTGTCTTGAAGATGACGTTGGAAAGATTCTTCGATCTTGGCAACGCATATATTGTAGATATATATATATATATATATATATATAGAGAGAGAGAGGTATATATATATGTGTGTGTGTGTGTATATATATATATTTTAAAAAGTATAATTTGCACTACTTCGGTCGGAAGACTTGTACATATTTTGAAATCCTGTTTCATGGTTTTGGAAAAGAAAAGATTTATTTTATTGTGAGCGCGTATCTTTCTGCAATCTACCATCGCCAGCTGGCATTGCAACTCCCACCGCTCCCTAGCTAGCATGGGCATTGTAGTTGGACATACCAGCCAGAGCGCGTATCTTTCTGCAATCTACCATCGCCAGCTGGCATTGCAACTCCCACCGCTCCCTAGCTAGCATGGGCATTGTAGTTGGACATACCAGCCAGGTGATAAGATTGAAGAAAGACCTGCTTGTTCCGCAGGTCAAAAAAGTCAAAATGGCAACCGTATAATCGAAACCTCGCCCTCTTTTTTATGTTTGTGGACCCCATCTGGTCTTTTTTTTCATCCTATTCTGCAAGTCCCCTTTTTCTCACCCTTGTGTCCTGTTTTTCTGTACAGTAAATAGTTGGCATTTGTCCTGCTGCTAAAAGGATGCTCTAAATCGGTGGGTATTTTTTTCCAAACTTGGCCACTTTAAGCGGTGTTTGACTTCAACTCACGGCCAGCTGGGGAATTCTGGGAGTCAAAGTCCACACTTCCGAAAGTTACCATTTTTTTATATATATATTTAAAAAACTCACTGCTCTCAATAGAAGCCAACCAATGATAGTTTCTACCTTTGTTCCTTTCATTTCAGTAAAAAAATTTCCCCTGGTTTCCTGTTCTTAAAGACCTTGTCTTAAAGCAATGTTTGTTGTTTGATTGTCTAGGGTTTGTGGGGGGTTTTTTGTACAACTTTTGGTATCTGAGCTTCCGATGTTTTTGGGTTTTTTTAGGAAGTGCAATGTTCTCGATGTAGATAAATAAGCTACGGGAATTTCACCCCCCCAGGTGAGGATATAATTTGGGGGCAACAAGTTCCGGTTTACTTTAAATTTTGTGGGCATGTTGCAAATGTCGGACATTTTGATAATGGCCGTTTTCAGTCTCTGTAAGTGGTGATTTTTCACTAAGTTCATTAAAAGGAATGTTGGAACCCCCGAGGTTGGATTGCATTTGTATTATCCTCATGTATCGTGATTCTAGGAAGACATCACTGAAAGTTATGACCGTGATTCTGTTTTGTTTTTCAGATGATTGAGCCCCCAAGCGCTCTAAGAGCTGTTGCTGCCTTAACAAACAGAGGCAGAACATCTTTGAAAGCTTTCTTCAGGTTTCAAGTTCATGCAGAACTTAAAGAAACAGAATAAGAGAGTTGCAAGGCACCTTGGAGGCCTTCTAGTCCAACCCCTCACTCAAGCAGGAGACCCTGCACCGTTTCAGACAAATGGGTCAGGCAATCTCTTCTTAAAAACCTCCAGTCTTGGAGCATTTACAGCTTCTGGAGGCAAGTAATTAAATTGTTCTCACTGTCAGAAAGTTTCTCCTTAGTTCCAGGTTGCTTCTCTCCTTTGACGGAGCTTCCATCCACTGCTTCTTGTTTTACCTTCTGGTTCTTTGGAGAATAGGTGGACCCCATCTCCTCTGGGGCAGCCCCTCAAATATTGGAACTACTATTATCATGAACAGCCCAAATGTATGTCTATGCGAGGTTCAAAGCACCTATTCTGAATCACTTTCAGGGTAGGGGTTAAAGCAGGGGACTCTCCCCCTCTCTCCTCCCCCCCCCCCCCAACCTTCAGCATCTGTTATGATAGATAGATAGATAGATAGATAGATAGATAGATAGATAGATAGAT